AAAAGCACCTTAGTTTGTTGCATATTAAGTGCATTGGACATATTTAACCAATCATTGTTCCTTCAACAGACATTTGAACAAAAATGTGGGTCCATTTCCATTTTCAACTTATCACCATGTCTATTTTTTATATTGAAGTTCTTAGATTATACCACAGATTCTATTGTGGGAGATAAATCAGAAACTCAATTATTATTATCATGATTCTAAAGAATAGATAGGCTTCTGAGGTGGGTTTGAGTGTGGGGTAGAACACAGACAAAGTTGGACCCATCGTCTGGTGCAATGTTTTTTGTTTTGTTTGTAGTGTCTGGTGAATTTAAGAGTGCACTTATTAGGACCAAAGAGATCAAAATTGATTCATTTTGCCCTTTTCTCTAATCTAGATGCACCCCATCTTGGTTGAGGTCGTGAAAAATGTTTGGTATTGGACTTTCATCAAATGGGTTGTAATCATCCTTTCCAGAAAGATGAATTGAGTGGCTAATTATGAACAAAAGACAAGTCTCTGGTTATGAAACCCTCTTCTAATGGATTATGTATAGCTTGCACTTCCCATTCTTGGATGACTATTTAATTATGAAAAAAATTACCTTTTTTTGTGGCTTACCACCTTTGGTTGAGGTGTTCATACCAAGTTTTCTTATCTAGATTTTTCCTTGTCCCTTTTCATCTTTCTTTCATTAATTAACTTATTTGCCCTTCTTTTTGCATTTCAACAATACAATCATTCACAAGTGCAATGAGACATGTGGCTTTTTTTTTTTAACTTATGAAACATCAATATAAAAGTATTAAAGAATTGTTAGTAAATTACGAGTTAATTCACATTGAGTTTTATTTTAGTCTGTATAATTTTTAAGTTAAGTGAATCAGATTCAACTTGATTCATATTAAAGAATTATTTTTTTTAATTTAATTCAGTTTGAATAAGTGATAAATCGGTTTGATTCATGAATTGAAATCTATTTTGACATTTCTAAATATAATATATAAATTTAAATACATATTTCTACATGAAAAATAACAAAACTTATAATGAAAATTACATTTGTCCCATTATGAAAACAAATTCCAAACATATATGACAAATTGGCCATTTAAATTTAGTTCGATTAAAGGCAAACTAAAAATATCTAGGAAGAAGAGAATTTCTAACCAAAGAGAATCAAATGGTACGGTCTCGTAGTTGTACAATGTGGAATAACATAACATTGGGTTGTGCAAACTGAAAGGAACAGAGAAAGAGTAACATGTTAGAAACTGTTGTGTGTGCATGTTATCATTGGTTGTTACTACAAAACTCCAAAGTTTGAACGCAAGAGTTTCCTACTACATCCACTTAGATATTTTTGGTATGCCATGAAAGAGAGTAATTTGGCACATAGCATTAATTTAATATAGATTGATTAAAATATATAGCAGTTAAGTTAAATTTCATTCATAATTTTTATTTATTTTTTTTCATTTTAACATGCATGAGAACAAGTAGCTTATTATTTTAAGTTTTGGTATTAAGTCTCTTTTCATGTACCCTACCAATTAATGACTTAGAGATCCATAAAAAGGTGACTAGATATACTTTGATAATTTATTTCTAGGGTTTTCAAATATACTAAAAATATAATTATAAATTAAAGGAAGAACACTCTCTGAGGATATTAGAAACATTGACACATGCAAAAAAAACAAAAACAATTATTTGGTTAATTTTTACTTGGACTTTAGATTCCTGTTATAATTCTCAAACGTGTGGTGAGTGCAGCATGTGATATCCAAATCGAATAAAATGATAATAAAATGATAAGAACACGACAGGTTCTATAATGTCGTGGGACCTCTTTCGTGCAGCAGTTATGCAGATAAGAAAACTTTTAATTTGCTCTTGCAGAAATATACGGATACATAACACTTGTTTTTTATCAGCATACTGATATAACACATATAATTGTGTAGATACCAAATTGAGTTGGATTTTGGAAAAATTCATCCTAAAATCCAATAAATATTTCTTGGACTGAATTAGGTTGAGTTTCTAAATTTTCTTTATATATAATGCAATTTAACTTTTCCTTATTTGAGTTAGATCCAATTGAATCAATTGGATAAAAAAAATGTAATTAAATACTTTTTAGATTTTCATGGACTACTTTAAAAAAATAATATCGTTTAATGTTTGAAGAGTTAAATAAGTTAATATTTTAAAATTATATTTATTTAGTAGAATAAATAATATGTATTAATATTATTATTATAATAATAATTATTATTATTATTTAATGATATTGGTAAGGTTGGATTGAGTTTATGAATCAACAATCTTCACCATTTCAGTCCATGGAAAATTGGGTTGAACTCAACGGAATTTATTTATATTGAATTTGGATTATCCTACTCAATATAAGTTTCTATTAAAATAATATCTTCCTCTCTCTAAATAACCTTTTAAATTAAATGGTAAAATAATATAGACTTTTCAGTATTTATAATTAAGTAGGTTAATGAATAATTATTTTCTGCTTTTAAAAGATAAATATAATTTTATAGAAAAAACTTAAAGTAAATATGTATTTATAAAATTTAAGTCGTATCAATAAAAATAATTTCACCTTTTGAATACAAGATGTGATATATGAATTAAGTTTAAATAACTTTTCTGTGCTTCGTTAATTTAAAAATTTTGTATATGGTGTTTGATCATTTATTTTGTTGGTTAGATTCTTATAGTTGACTCACACATATTAAGTGATGAGCGATCTTTTAAATGACAGGTCAACAATTAAGTAAAACCAATAAATGCATTTTTTTATTTGAGGTTTTTAATAAAATGTAATAGCATTTGTGACTTAGTTTAAATAATTTGCATACATAATTTCACTAATTGAATTATATTTGTTTCATATTATATATTTGAGTTTTGTGTTTTTCTTATAAATAGATATTTCTAAGTATTAAAATCACAATTTAGAAAAGAATTGATGTTCAAGATGCAAAGTTAAAACCAGAGAATTTCATGACCTAGCTGTGAACGTTTTCACGTGTGGATTTTGCTTTAAAATGCAGAGTCGAAACTAGAAAGTTTCACAATTAAGTTGCGAATGTTTCCACAACCTGTGGATTTGTCTCGAGAGAAACATAAGACAAAACAAAAAATTCTACAATTGAGTTGTGACTTTTTTCACAACTTGTGGATTTACTTTAGAAGAGCGAAATTGAAACCAGAGAAGTGCATAAGCAAATTGTGGATTTTTTCATAAGCAGCGGAATTAGAGAAAAATAGGGAGAATTAGACAATTGGAGCAACAACGGAGATAAGAGGAGCACAAAATGGATTCTACACTTCTTCTTCCTTTAGTTTCTTGTGAATTTTAAATTATGCAAAAATAATTTTCCTTTTGTTAGAGGATTAATGTAGTTATACTTTGGTTTATAATTCTAAACTTTTCCAATTGATGTTTAGTTAATTTTAATTCTTTTAGTATTCTATTTATGTTCTAATGTTTATTCTATGAGCAGTTTTACAATTGGTAAATTGCAGATTATTTGCGATTATAAATAGAATAGATTAGATGTTATCACAATTGGGAAATTGGACATAACTAATTAGTTTGCCACTAAGATAATAATTGTTTCTTCATAATTTTATTGAATTTTGTAACTGGCTTAATGATCTGAGGGTTAAGATTCAATGGATAAGTTTGCCTATCTAATGAATTTGGGATAAACAAGTTCTTAATAAACTCAAGTGGATAATTACAATTTGCACATCAAATGAAAAAGGTAGGAATTTATATGAAAGTGTACGAAATCAGTTCTCTAACATTGTTTATATTAATTGAATTCTCGTCACTTGTTTATCTTCATCATTTCACTTGATTTTCTATTGGTCAAAATTACGTGAATAATAATCTAGTACTTAACTCATTCAATTTCAAAGGATGATATTTTGTTACTACAATAACAATTGGTACATTTGCCAAGTATTCATCAATTTTCCAAATATTCTTGTCTTGTTTTACTTATGATCCTTAATTAAGTTTTTTTAACCAAATGAAGTGAATTTAGTTTTAAAATTATCAATATGGATTCCCTTTAAAAGATATTACTACTCATGTCAAGTCGTGTTGTTTGTAGAAGATTTTGGAAATGAAGTCATTAGAACATGCAATGTTTTCTGTGTAAATTAAAGTTTTGAATTGAAGTTATTATCTTTTATGACGAATTTAATATAATTGAATTTGAACTGAAGTCGTTGTTACGATTTTAGTATAATTGATTTTGAACTGAAGTCGTCATTCCTTATGGTGACTTTAGTATAATTGATTTTGAACTTAAATTTTTATTTCTTGTGATGAATTATGTATAATTGATTTTGAATTGAAGTCATTATTCTCTTTAACAACTTCAATGTAATTATTTTTAAACTGAAATCGTCACAAGAAATTATCACTTTAATTCAAAAGCAATTACATTGAAGTCAACAAAGGAGATAATGACTTCCGTTCAAACTTTAATTTACCGAAAAGTCTAAACTTATTTTGACGACTTTATTTTCATAGTATAAAATCATTCATGCACATGATGACTTATTCAAAACAAAGATGTATTTTGAAAACATATCCATGATTGATAATTTTTTTTGAAGGGGACCTACATTTGTTGTTTTAAAAACAAATTAACTCTATTAGTTTAGTAATTTTTTTTTTAATTTTGGTCTCTGCATTTATTTGTATCTTTTAAATGATGAGTTGTTTGATAAATGATCACCTGAATTTCATTATTGTTAGATGAATATGATTAGAATTTTACTAAACATGAGTTTTACTAATTATTCTTTTTGATAGGGGATATGTTTAATATTTTTCCTTTTTAAAATAAAATAGATACATTACTTTTATATACAACTGTTTTCTTCGTGACAATTAGTGTGGTCTGGTGAAGAAGCCCAACTGAAATTGGGCCAAACTAAAAACCTATTGGGCTTACCACTCCTAAGGTAGGCCTAGGGTTTATAAGCGACGCGTTTTCTAACGTCAAACATTTTTCAGATTCTGAAAACACTGTCCCGTCGTCACCATGGTTCGTTCTGCAACTAGGATTTCACACTCTTTTTGTCCTTTGCATTCGTTTTTGCTTCTTACGTTGTGGTTTGTGTAATTGCAGCCGCAAGGAGACTACATAGAACGTCACAGAAGAGACTATGGCTACCGTCTCGATCACTTCGAGCGTAAGCGCAAGAAAGAGGCGCGTCAAGTTCACAAGCGCTCTGCAATGGCCCAAAAGGTTGCCTTCACCTTTAATCTGTTTTTTCTTTTTTTTAAAAAAAAATTGATTTCGCTAACTTTCACGTAGTTGTATTGCCATGACTCATGATTCAATTTAATGTTTGAATTTTTGTTAATTCCAATTGAACAGGCTCTGGGTATCAAGGGAAAAATGATTGCCAAGAAAAATTACGCTGAAAAGGCTCAGATGAAGAAGACGTGAGTCTTGTTTTGTTTTATTTTCCATTTTTGTTTTTTGAGTTTTAGCTTCTGTTTTTCCTCCTTATATGTTGTGTGTTAGTTTGTGAGTTTTAAATAATTGGATTAGGATAGTAGTTTTTCATCTCTGGATTTGTCTCTGGAGTGAGAGATTAATGAGATAAATTTCTAGTTACATCACTGTTCTGTGTCAACAGTTTGGCTATGCATGAAGAGTCAACATCTAGGCGCAAGACTGATGATAATGTCCAGGATGGAGCTGTCCCCGCGTATCTTCTGGATCGTGATAACACGACCAGGGCAAAGGCATGTTCATGTCTTGAAAGATTGTTTTGTGTTTTGCTTTGTAAGTTTTGGAAGTAATCTTATTGATTTCTATTTTTAGGTTCTTAGCAACACAATTAAGCAAAAGAGGAAAGAGAAGGCTGGCAAATGGGATGTTCCTCTACCTAAGGTGAATTGCCATCGATACTTCTTTGTTTTCCAGTGGATGGAAAAGGCGTTCTTGGGTAATTAAACAATGTAAATTTTCTCACTTTGTCAGGTACGTCCCGTGGCTGAAGATGAGATGTTCAAAGTGGTCCGGACTGGTAAAAGAAAGAGTAAGTAACTGAGTATTTACATTACACTTTCCTTGGTTATTCAGTCAAGTATTTAGCTGGCCAAAGTTAATTGTTAACTTCACTTTTCAAACTTGTGGTTTTATAATGTTAATTAATTGGTGCTATATGGTGAAATTTGTTAAAAGTATCCATTTCAAGTACTAGTTATATTGCATGATTGTCAGCATCTTTCTGCAAGTCATGCTTGTTTGCAATTCTTTCTTCTCGGTTTCCCTTCTTTGGTTGATTGCGGACACAGACAAACAATCCCTATATCTTTGCTTGAGTAGGTTGGATGCTTGTATTGTTGGTCGCTAAGTCTTAAGTCAAAATACTAACTCTTAAATCATGTTAGTCTAGTTGTATCATTGAATATTCTTGTTGTTTGTGAATGTGCCTTACTGGTTGTTCACTGTAAGCATTTCTTTAGTATTGGACAAAACGTACACGTATCTTTCCTAGAAAAACGATTGATAGTTTGTGGCTCACCATTTTTCAGCCAAGCAGTGGAAGAGGATGGTTACAAAAGCTACGTTTGTTGGACCTGGTTTTACCAGAAAGCCTCCAAAGTACGAGCGATTCATTCGTCCTACAGGACTGCGGTTCACTAAAGCTCATGTCACCCATCCAGAACTTAAATGCACGTTCAATCTAGAAATAATTGGAGTTAAGAAAAACCCCAATGGCCCTATGTACACTTCTCTTGGTGTCATGACCAAGGGAACTATAATTGAGGTATTTATATTTTTCATATTCACAATTATATGAGCTTTTGAGATGTTCGTAACTTCCCCTTTTTATTTGCTGATATATAATATAACTGTAATATGAAGCATGATCAAAATTTGTTACTTATTTCTTTGCACATTGCAATTTCAGGTGAATGTTAGTGAACTTGGTCTTGTCACACCAGCTGGGAAAGTTGTGTGGGGTAAGATTATTTGTCAATTATTGACTGAAATTTTAACTGAAATCAATGTGTTGAAATATTGTTTTGCTCGGATGCAGGTAAATATGCTCAGGTGACAAATAACCCAGAAAATGATGGTTGTATAAATGCTGTCTTGCTTGTTTAAGGCCATAGCAAGGAACATTGTTCCAACTAGATTTCAAAGGTAGTGGTCAACACTCTCTCCTATGAATTTTTTGGTCGCCAACCCCAATCTTAAAAGTAATGTCTGAGAAAATTATGAAGTATTTTTGTTTTCTGAGTGTAATACTAGCAGGAAGTTTCTATAATTCATCTTGTTTGGATAGCCGCATGCAATGATCTAATCTAGCGCATGATGTTTAAGGTTAACTAATCATTGTTCAAGAGTTAGAAAAAGAAGTCACATAAATTTGTATAGTCCATTTGTTAGACACAGTATTTTGAGTAGCTGTATTTGTATATTACGGTTGAAATATTATGTCATATCAATGAACTAGTACATTTAAAAAAATATATAAGAAATTTCGAATTTGTTTGGGTTTTCTGATCCCAACAAACCAATTGACTCATTGATAATTATAATTTTCATACATCTATGTTTTATTTTATAATTATAATTTATTTTTAAAAGAAAGCAAAATATAATTATTAACATTAAATTAATTTGAACTTATTTCTATTTCAATTCAAATAAAAATAATTAGAGTGATTAAAAATTATAAAATCTGTTTAAATTAGCAGCGAATAAATATATTATATAAAAAAAATTTGCATCACATTTTTTATTTAGTTTTCATGTTAATCTTGTGACATTTTTTAATTAAATTCAAATTAAATATAAATTCATTTTCCTTAAAAACTTTTTTAAATCGATAATAGAATTTGTTAGACTAACTACAAGTAATATTTAAAAGCATATTTAATGTTACAAATTTCAGAATATCATTTTTTTGTTTTGCATAATTCTTGAAGATGTGTATATAAGCATAATACATATGCAACTATGAAATGTAATTAATTTTCAATTAAAACATTAAAACAAATTCTTTTCTAATTTCAATTAATATATATTTAGTTCAAATTAGACACTATTGAAAAGTGTAACGTTTACCTAATTTAGTTGATGCATAAGTCTATTAAAAACTAAAATTAAAACATCAAGATGTTTTTAATTTTGAAAATTTTCTCCCTGTTTAATAACATTCTATAAAATTATATGAATTTTAAATAAAATCAAATATGATTTTAAAATTCTATTTAATTTTAGCTTATTTTGTTAATATTTTTTGTAAAACAATAAAATCAAAATAACTTATATGTGATTAATATTCAATTAAAATTAACTATTTCAATTAAAATAAAAAATAAAATGATTATAAAGTTTAAGATTAATTTTAATCACCAATAAATAAAAATATTAGTTATTTTGTTATATATATATATATACTAATAGAGACATTTAAGTGGTGCACAATATATTGTAATTGATATATTATGTAACGTCCCGGCAACTCACAGGGATCGTTGACTGCCCCCACAGACCACCACCAGGCTTTCCAGTGTGCTTTGTCCTCACTCGCACACTTTCTGGGAAAACTTCCCAGAAGGTCACCCATCCCAGAATTACTCTAGGCTAAGCACGCTTAACCATTGAGTTCTTATGAGTCAGGCTACCGAAAAGTAAATGCATTTTGGTGATATGAGTAGCCAAATCAATTCCTTTAAGCTATCTTTCAACTGTATAGTCCCATACCTATACAGTCTCCAGATCCCTCTCATTCCGGTGTATGTTCGATTCATCCATGTACCCCTTCCACCCGAAGCTGTCAAGAGTCGCTCCTTGTCTGTGCCCCCTGCACCATGCTCCCTGCACCGGCATCACTCCCCGCCCTCATCAGTGCCCGGGTGTCACATATTAAGTATTGAATGCTATTAACTAATTCTGTAAACTTAAATAATTGTTTACACCAATTAAAAAAGCTTATCAACTCTTAGGAAACCAAAATGTATAAGGACAAACTAAATCCAAATGTTTTATCAAATGTATGTTCATAAGAATTTAGACAATTTCATAACTCACCCTCCATAGTTGTCGTTTATATAAATCACCTCAAAACTACAAAATTAAACAATTAACTTCCACCCCTCCTATTCTTCTACAGTAATACGCGTGAAGATTCTTAAGACCATCTCATATTATTTATTATTTATTATCATGATATCAACCTATTATATACCAATATATGTTGTGTTCATTAAAATTTTGGAATTATTGAAATATATATGTTTATGAAAATAGATTAATTTATGTAAATTGTTATCTTTGAAAAATTACGTCAAATATTCATCCATAAAAATCCATAAAAATATTGGGAGATATAGCTTTAGACACAAAGATATACGAGAAGTGTTGAAGAGGGCATTTTGTTTTACATACAACATTTTTTAAGGTTTATGGATAATTTTGTACGTCATTGACGATCAACATGTTTCAAATAGTACTTTAATATAGTCGCAATAATATGAAATTATATATTGTACTAATGATAATGATTTTTTTTTGTCACATTAATGACAACGATACATATACACACATGTTTTTAAGTCTCTGAATTCTGTGCATCATTTTGACCCCAAAATTCTTGGTCATAATGGCTTATAGTTTTGGTGCATCATAACGCCAAAATTGTACTGGAATTTTAAGATGAGATGTGTAAATAACAAACCATATTCATATATATCCCCTCCCATCACCATTTATGTCCTAATTGTATAAATTAGTGAAATACAAACGACAAGTTCAACCAGCAAAATAATTTATGCAATTCCACAATACCATTCAATTAAGCTTTTTAATCTTAGCCAAATATTTAAACAGAGACGATGCTCGATCAGTGAGTGACAAGTTGAGGAGATTGATGAGCAAGGTTCATTGGCATTTGGGATTCAACCACCTGCAGAAGGCCAGTGGCCAATCTCCTTGTTAACTCTTCAACTGGAACCTTCACCACATCACCCCTCATTCCAATGTCTGTAGCATATCTACTGGCACAGTACACTCCAACGGCTGTCACTGCCATTCCATATACGTTGGTAGTAACCATTCGTAGAGGCGAGGATAGAACAGCAGCAAGAGGGCCCCCAATGATGGAAATAGCTTGGCCACTTTGTCCAATTCTTCCTTGCTCAGCAACCAGGAGTTCAGTTTTGCAATAGATAGCAAAGTCTTCACAGTTGTTCTTGAAAACATTATAGCACCCAAAGCCATTTTCAAGTAGATGTTTTGCCCGGTGGACCACGATATCATCTTCATCGGAGACTGCAAGAGTACACGTTCCACCGCGAGCTTTTGCAAGGAAGAGGGCAGGGGAAACGGCATACTCAAACCGATACAGGACGCCACCGGCTAGGAAACAATTCAGGCAGGAGGAGACAACACCATGTTCCTCTTGGGGTTCTGTACATGTTGGGCAACTTTCTCTAGCCCTGGCTGGTCCTGAACTAACGAGGAGAAGATCTAGTGCAGTACCAGTACCTACTTCTTGCCCACGCCTGGTGAAGTGAATGACTTTGTCATCACCCACATAAATGCCTGCCATTAATTCAGACACACAACAAGAGAATTCTTCATCATCACACACTTTGATTTATAGATGAAAGATAACTCAATCTTAGTATTTCTTTGTATTGGTTATTCCTCAACAGCCAATATATTATATGACGAAGTGAGATTCTCACAAGAGCACAATGGTAAGGAGGAGGGAAAGTGTAAGAGTTAAGTGGATTGTCCAACCATTACATCATACATAAATCATCAAACAGATTTTTAGGAACACTGGTCTAAGACAAAACTATCATATAAATTATAATAACACCATTATGTTGGATTGCATTACCTACATGGCTCCCAATTGTCTTTCAATAAACTTAAGGTTTAAGGTTTATGCACTCATTGTTAATGATACAATGGTATTAATGTAAGAGCACTGTCCAACACCCATATACCTTCAAAATTGTATCTCCATCATTAAGATCAGCTCTATCTAATGCTACAATCTTCTTCACCTTATTCTCTCATCATATAGTTTTCAATGTCGGTGATCATGACAGTAAAATGAATAGTTTTGTATAATATTTAATCCCATGGACAAGTACAGACAAAAAGTTGACGGTAAAACAATCCCAATCATGAACAACTTTGAAAAAATCCTACTTAATTTTCTACTGAACCAAAACAAAACAGAAAAGGGAAGAGGGAGAACCGTGATGAGCATAAATGTACGCAGTCCTCCAAGAGTAGATATGATCCCCTGGTTTCAGGCTCTCTCTAGTTACTCTGCATCCACAGTTTCAAATTTCAATTCAACAAATTTTCCGATCGTGTTTTTCCAGACAACAACAAAGGCGGAATAAAGAAACCTTAAAAGCACCCAAACGGTGTTTATCAATTGAAGCAAAGTAGTAGAGAACGAAATTAAGCGTACCTGTTCGAGAGAAGCCCCATGTCCGTTACCGTTGTTCCCTTTCCGAGCAGAAGGGAAGAGGCTTCGATTCTTATCCTTAACAGTGAAAGGAACCGAAGAAACGGACGGTGATGCAATGACGATTGTGCCCTTCGGCGATGGCTTCGCTGTTAAGGAATGTGAGGGTGGAAATGGCGTTGAAGACGCTGAAACTTGAAACAACAACACGCTAATATAACGCTTTCATTTATTGGAAGTTGTACACGTGTGCAACTTATCCACGTGTGTAGTGATGGAAAACATTGCGATCAGCAACATGTGCCAACTTGCGGTTTGCGTAAGGTCCAATAAGGTGGGCTTTAAGGATGAGTTTGTCAGCCCAATATCACGCAAATCAATGATGGCAACATGGGAACTGAGTGAAAAAATTTAAGTAATTTATAAATTAAACAACATATATTTATATTTTTTTCAAATCTAAACAAAATTTATTTTTCTTTTTAATATTTTTTTCACCATAATGATGAAATATTTTACTAAAATATTCTTGCAGTAAACACGTAAGGGGCTTGTTGTTTTACATCTTATAATAACGCAGCAATGATTATTGAATAATACTTTCTTTTTTCTCCTCTAATTGGACTGTTCTAAAAAATAAAATATTTAATACGATTATTTATTTAGAGTAATACTATGGTAAGATTTTAATTTTAATGGTTTTATTGAAAAAAGTAAATGAAAATCAATTTAAAGATATAAAAAATTTAAATAATACAAGTGAAAGATGGGAATTCACAACTTCGAAAATTTAAACATTTTTTTTACCAAAACATTACTTAGCATCATCATGAAAGTGCCATATCTGAGTAGTTAATTCATGTGTGTAACACTTATGTTATAATTTATCAATATAGTGCAATTTAAAAAAATATATATATATTTTTTTTGAAAAAATTATAAAGGTAAATAAGTCAGGTCTGCTGTACGATGTGATTTTATTGTGAAAAAAATGTTAAGATTTGACTTCAGTTATAATTAATTATGATTAAAATCTATGTGTTGACGAAATAATTAAAGCATATAATTCTCTTAAATAATTAAATTTTATAAATTTATTATTAATTCTATTTATTTATATTAATCATAATTAAATTTCAAAAATCAAATAATTATTCGTTGAATTTAACTACAGACTTTTAAATTTGGTCAATTTAAAAATAATCATATAATTAAATTTAAACGGAATAATCATTAGATTTTCAAAATTTATGATTAATATAAATAAATAAAATTAATAATAAATTTTTTAATTTGCATAAAATAATTATTATATTTTCAAATTTGAATAATGAGTAATGCAAGTAAATAATATTAATAACTAGTTTGTCAATTTTAAAAAAAAAATTGTATTTTGATTTTTATTTTGCCAATACATTATATTTCAATAATAATTAATTAAAACATAATTTCTATAAGTCGTCTCATCCACTAACGAATTTCTTTCCTATTAAATTTTCCGAACATGTTCTATATTGAATTTGATATAAAACATTGAAGAAAAAAAATGGAACAAGTTAAACCAAGAACAACATTCAATCACAAATTCAAGAATTATGTTTTTAACAATGGAAAAACTTGTGTGAAGTTGACGTACGTGTTTGTATTCGATATTTTAAAGAACTACTCGAGAATACATATTTTCTTTTGTCTTAACCTATTATACCAAATGCCAATTTATTTCTTATTATATTTGGCTTTTTCTTGACTATTTCTTAGTATATTGATTTTAAATCCAATAAGAATTATTTTGTCCTGTTAGAAAATAAACTTTTGGTAATATCATTTTCATGAAACTCTTCTCTAATAATAAATGAAAACATATAATTAATTTATTATCGTTCGACTATTGATGATCTATTGAAATGTAGTGATTGATAGGCTTTATGCTTTGGAAGAAAAGGTGAAAGTGGGAAATGATTTTGTTATGGGTATTTGGAAAGATATAGTGTGAAGTATGTAGGATAGCATTGCCCTAACATGTATGTGGGAATCTCATCATTGACCAACAAAAACACAAACAATCATAGGAGGAATAGAGGGCCCATTTCTCTTCTCAATTATTGTTTCAAAATTGAGCAACTTGATTCATGGCCCAACCACACAATTGTCTTGGTTGTTTTGCTCATTCTCCATCACACACAATTCTAGATTTATATTGCTTTTCTACCAAACCCTATACTTTAAAGCATTTTCTTTACTTGTGACCATCACTTTAAAAAATTAATCTATCAATCGCCAAGATATTGCTAAACAATGCTCATTCAAAAGGAAAAAAAAAGCTTGCAATAGAGTTAGAAGGTAAACAAAAGAAATTCTAAAGAGTTTTATATCTATAGGATTAAATGTGTTTTTAATTTCTGAATTTAGATACGAAATTGAAATTGGTTCTGTTTTTAAATTTTGATATATTTTAATCTTCAAATTTTAAAATTATATATAAATGATATTTGACATTTAACATGAACCTGTCAAATTATATAAATAGCTTAAATGGTAGTTTGAAATACCATTTCACACGTAAAAAAGATTTAACGTAATTAAATTAAAAAGACTATATTTCTTTGTTTTGAAAGTTTAAGGATTAAATTGTATCAAAATTTGAGATAAAAAATTAAATTTTAATTTTTCTTTAAAGATTATAGACTAAAAAATATTTAACTTTTATAGAAATATATCTTCGTAGAAGGATTTGCTTCCAATGAAAAAGAAATAGGAATTTACATGATCTTGATAGTGAAGTAGCTAGGAAATAGAAAGAAATAGTTAAATATATTATTTAAGCAGGACATGGATTTGTCTATACTTTCTGAGGCACTATTCCAGAAAACAGTTTATTATACACATACATGAAAGATGCTGCAAACCCATATATAAAAAACAAAAGACATATATAAAGGCAGCAAGTTCAATTTTAATATTGGGATTTTGGTCAATTCTCCACCAAAATTCACCAACATGAAACCTGTCATAGCTTTAGTGTGATTCAAAACCCTTTTTGTTTATTGGTTTCATCATGCTTGGAGATATGTTTACCATAATCCAATGACATAAAGCAAACTACTCATGTATCTTTCATGGAACCCTAATTTCGTTCTTCAATTCTAATATGAAATATTAATTAATCTTATAGTGTTGTCTATCTTTTGATTATAATACTCTCCCATTACCTAGTTCATAACATCTTCAATATTGTCACCATCTAACCCTTTTATAAATTTCCAAACTTTGACACTAATTGCCTTTGTCTTTAGCAAGAATTAAAAATTTGGAGAATGTGGAAATAAAGAAAGATGTAGCATAAAGTAGTTTGGAGTTGGAATAGTTAGGCAACTCCTTCTCTCTTTGTCTCTCTCTCTCTCTCTCTCTATATGTTCTTTTCTTTCTCTTTTCTTTCCATCTTGGTGCTCATAACTTTTCTTAGTGAAGTCCAACTTTCTAAAAGATCAGAAGAAATAGGTTATAGAGTCATATGATGGGGTGGTGGGGTTCCATAAAAAATGTCACCTTTAACTGTTAACCCTAGAAAACACATGTCCTTATCTTATCTCACCAAGAAAGAAAATAAATGAAAAAACAGAAGAAAAAAAAACCAGGTCAATTAGAAACTGCCAAACTGGCCTAAGGTCTAGAGCCTAACTTAAGAACAGTTGTTANATTTACATTACACTTTCCTTGGTTATTCAGTCAAGTATTTAGCTGGCCAAAGTTAATTGTTAACTTCACTTTTCAAACTTGTGGTTTTATTATGTTAATTAATTGGTGCTATATGGTGAAATTTGTTAAAAGTATCCATTTCAAGTACTAGTTATATTGCATGATTGTCCGCATCTTTCTGCAAGTCATGCTTGTTTGCAATTCTTTCTTCTCGGTTTCCCTTCTTTGGTTGATTGCGGACACAGACAAACAATCCCTATATCTTTGCTTGAGTAGGTTGGATGCTTGTATTGTTGGTCGCTAAGTCTTAAGTCAAAATACTAACTCTTAAATCATGTTAGTCTAGTTGTATCATTGAATATTCTTGTTGTTTGTGAATGTGCCTTACTGGTTGTTCACTGTAAGCATTTCTTTAGTATTAGACAAAACGTACACGTATCATTCCTAGAAAAACGATTGATAGTTTGTGGCTCACCATTTTTCAGCCAAGCAGTGGAAGAGGATGGTTACAAAAGCTACGTTTGTTGGACCTGGTTTTACCAGAAAGCCTCCAAAGTACGAGCGATTCATTCGTCCTACAGGACTGCGGTTCACTAAAGCTCATGTCACCCATCCAGAACTTAAATGCACGTTCAATCTAGAAATAATTGGAGTTAAGAAAAACCCCAATGGCCCTATGTACACTTCTCTTGGTGTCATGACCAAGGGAACTATAATTGAGGTATTTATATTTTTCATATTCACAATTATATGAGCTTTTGAGATGTTCATAACTTCCCCTTTTTATTTGCTGATATATAATATAAATGTAATATGAAGCATGATCAAAATTTGTTACTTATTTCTTTGCACATTGCAATTTCAGGTGAATGTTAGTGAACTTGGTCTTGTCACACCAGCTGGGAAAGTTGTGTGGGGTAAGATTATTTGTCAATTATTGACTGAAATTTTAACTGAAATCAATGTGTTGAAATATTGTTTTGCTCGGATGCAGGTAAATATGCTCAGGTGACAAATAACCCAGAAAATGATGGTTGTATAAATGCTGTCTTGCTTGTTTAAGGCCATAGCAAGGAACATTGTTCCAACTAGATTTCAAAGGTAGTGGTCAACACTCTCTCCTATGAATTTTTTGGTCGCCAACCCCAATCTTAAAAGTAATGTCTGAGAAAATTATGAAGTATTTTTGTTTTCTGAGTGTAATACTAGCAGGAAGTTTCTATAATTCATCTTGTTTGGATAGCCGCATGCAATGATCTAATCTAGCGCATGATGTTTAAGGTTAACTAATCATTGTTCAAGAGTTAGAAAAAGAAGTCACATAAATTTGTATAGTCCATTTGTTAGACACAGTATTTTGAGTAGCTGTATTTGTATATTACGGTTGAAATATTATGTCATATCAATGAACCAGTACATTTAAAAAAATATATATAAGAAATTTCGAATTTGTTTGGGTTTTCTGATCCCAACAAACCAATTGACTCATTGATAATTATAATTTTCATACATCTATGTTTTATTTTATAATTATAATTTATTTTTAAAAGAAAGCAAAATATAATTATTAACATTAAATTAATTTGAACTTATTTCTATTTCAATTCAAATAAAAATAATTAGAGTGATTAAAAATTATAAAATCTGTTTAAATTAGCAGCGAATAAATATATTATATAAAAAAAATTTGCATCACATTTTTTATTTAGTTTTCATGTTAATCTTGTGACATTTTTTAATTAAATTCAAATTAAATATAAATTCATTTTCCTTAAAAACTTTTTTAAATCGATAATAGAATTTGTTAGACTAACTACAAGTAATATTTAAAAGCATATTTAATGTTACAAATTTCAGAATATCATTTTTTTGTTTTGCATAATTCTTGAAGATGTGTATATAAGCATAATACATATGCAACTATGAAATGTAATTAATTTTCAATTAAAACATTAAAACAAATTCTTTTCTAATTTCAATTAATATATATTTAGTTCAAATTAGACACTATTGAAAAGTGTAACGTTTACCTAATTTAGTTGATGCATAAGTCTATTAAAAACTAAAATTAAAACATCAAGATGTTTTTAATTTTGAAAATTTTCTCCCTGTTTAATAACATTCTATAAAATTATATGAATTTTAAATAAAATCAAATATGATTTTAAAATTCTATTTAATTTTAGCTTATTTTGTTAATATTTTTTGTAAAACAATAAAATCAAAATAACTTATATGTGATTAATATTCAATTAAAATTAACTATTTCAATTAAAATAAAAAATAAAATGATTATAAAGTTTAAGATTAATTTTAATCACCAATAAATAAAAATATTAGTTATTTTGTTATATATATATATATACTAATAGAGACATTTAAGTGGTGCACAATATATTGTAATTGATATATTATGTAACGTCCCGGCAACTCACAGGGATCGTTGACTGCCCCCACAGACCACCACCAGGCTTTCCAGTGTGCTTTGTCCTCACTCGCACACTTTCTGGGAAAACTTCCCAGAAGGTCACCCATCCCAGAATTACTCTAGGCTAAGCACGCTTAACCATTGAGTTCTTATGAGTCAGGCTACCGAAAAGTAAATGCATTTTGGTGATATGAGTAGCCAAATCAATTCCTTTAAGCTATCTTTCAACTGTATAGTCCCATACCTATACAGTCTCCAGATCCCTCTCATTCCGGTGTATGTTCGATTCATCCATGTACCCCTTCCACCCGAAGCTGTCAAGAGTCGCTCCTTGTCTGTGCCCCCTGCACCATGCTCCCTGCACCGGCATCACTCCCCGCCCTCATCAGTGCCCGGGTGTCACATATTAAGTATTGAATGCTATTAACTAATTCTGTAAACTTAAATAATTGTTTACACCAATTAAAAAAGCTTATCAACTCTTAGGAAACCAAAATGTATAAGGACAAACTAAATCCAAATGTTTTATCAAATGTATGTTCATAAGAATTTAGACAATTTCATAACTCACCCTCCATAGTTGTCGTTTATATAAATCACCTCAAAACTACAAAATTAAACAATTAACTTCCACCCCTCCTATTCTTCTACAGTAATACGCGTGAAGATTCTTAAGACCATCTCATATTATTTATTATTTATTATCATGATATCAACCTATTATATACCAATATATGTTGTGTTCATTAAAATTTTGGAATTATTGAAATATATATGTTTATGAAAATAGATTAATTTATGTAAATTGTTATCTTTGAAAAATTACGTCAAATATTCATCCATAAAAATCCATAAAAATATTGGGAGATATAGCTTTAGACACAAAGATATACGAGAAGTGTTGAAGAGGGCATTTTGTTTTACATACAACATTTTTTAAGGTTTATGGATAATTTTGTACGTCATTGACGATCAACATGTTTCAAATAGTACTTTAATATAGTCGCAATAATATGAAATTATATATTGTACTAATGATAATGATTTTTTTTTGTCACATTAATGACAACGATACATATACACACATGTTTTTAAGTCTCTGAATTCTGTGCATCATTTTGACCCCAAAATTCTTGGTCATAATGGCTTATAGTTTTGGTGCATCATAACGCCAAAATTGTACTGGAATTTTAAGATGAGATGTGTAAATAACAAACCATATTCATATATATCCCCTCCCATCACCATTTATGTCCTAATTGTATAAATTAGTGAAATACAAACGACAAGTTCAACCAGCAAAATAATTTATGCAATTCCACAATACCATTCAATTAAGCTTTTTAATCTTAGCCAAATATTTAAACAGAGACGATGCTCGATCAGTGAGTGACAAGTTGAGGAGATTGATGAGCAAGGTTCATTGGCATTTGGGATTCAACCACCTGCAGAAGGCCAGTGGCCAATCTCCTTGTTAACTCTTCAACTGGAACCTTCACCACATCACCCCTCATTCCAATGTCTGTAGCATATCTACTGGCACAGTACACTCCAACGGCTGTCACTGCCATTCCATATACGTTGGTAGTAACCATTCGTAGAGGCGAGGATAGAACAGCAGCAAGAGGGCCCCCAATGATGGAAATAGCTTGGCCACTTTGTCCAATTCTTCCTTGCTCAGCAACCAGGAGTTCAGTTTTGCAATAGATAGCAAAGTCTTCACAGTTGTTCTTGAAAACATTATAGCACCCAAAGCCATTTTCAAGTAGATGTTTTGCCCGGTGGACCACGATATCATCTTCATCGGAGACTGCAAGAGTACACGTTCCACCGCGAGCTTTTGCAAGGAAGAGGGCAGGGGAAACGGCATACTCAAACCGATACAGGACGCCACCGGCTAGGAAACAATTCAGGCAGGAGGAGACAACACCATGTTCCTCTTGGGGTTCTGTACATGTTGGGCAACTTTCTCTAGCCCTGGCTGGTCCTGAACTAACGAGGAGAAGATCTAGTGCAGTACCAGTACCTACTTCTTGCCCACGCCTGGTGAAGTGAATGACTTTGTCATCACCCACATAAATGCCTGCCATTAATTCAGACACACAACAAGAGAATTCTTCATCATCACACACTTTGATTTATAGATGAAAGATAACTCAATCTTAGTATTTCTTTGTATTGGTTATTCCTCAACAGCCAATATATTATATGACGAAGTGAGATTCTCACAAGAGCACAATGGTAAGGAGGAGGGAAAGTGTAAGAGTTAAGTGGATTGTCCAACCATTACATCATACATAAATCATCAAACAGATTTTTAGGAACACTGGTCTAAGACAAAACTATCATATAAATTATAATAACACCATTATGTTGGATTGCATTACCTACATGGCTCCCAATTGTCTTTCAATAAACTTAAGGTTTAAGGTTTATGCACTCATTGTTAATGATACAATGGTATTAATGTAAGAGCACTGTCCAACACCCATATACCTTCAAAATTGTATCTCCATCATTAAGATCAGCTCTATCTAATGCTACAATCTTCTTCACCTTATTCTCTCATCATATAGTTTTCAATGTCGGTGATCATGACAGTAAAATGAATAGTTTTGTATAATATTTAATCCCATGGACAAGTACAGACAAAAAGTTGACGGTAAAACAATCCCAATCATGAACAACTTTGAAAAAATCCTACTTAATTTTCTACTGAACCAAAACAAAACAGAAAAGGGAAGAGGGAGAACCGTGATGAGCATAAATGTACGCAGTCCTCCAAGAGTAGATATGATCCCCTGGTTTCAGGCTCTCTCTAGTTACTCTGCATCCACAGTTTCAAATTTCAATTCAACAAATTTTCCGATCGTGTTTTTCCAGACAACAACAAAGGCGGAATAAAGAAACCTTAAAAGCACCCAAACGGTGTTTATCAATTGAAGCAAAGTAGTAGAGAACGAAATTAAGCGTACCTGTTCGAGAGAAGCCCCATGTCCGTTACCGTTGTTCCCTTTCCGAGCAGAAGGGAAGAGGCTTCGATTCTTATCCTTAACAGTGAAAGGAACCGAAGAAACGGACGGTGATGCAATGACGATTGTGCCCTTCGGCGATGGCTTCGCTGTTAAGGAATGTGAGGGTGGAAATGGCGTTGAAGACGCTGAAACTTGAAACAACAACACGCTAATATAACGCTTTCATTTATTGGAAGTTGTCCACGTGTGCAACTTATCCACGTGTGTAGTGATGGAAAACATTGCGATCAGCAACATGTGCCAACTTGCGGTTTGCGTAAGGTCCAATAAGGTGGGCTTTAAGGATGAGTTTGTCAGCCCAATATCACGCAAATCAATGATGGCAACATGGGAACTGAGTGAAAAAATTTAAGTAATTTATAAATTAAACAACATATATTTATATTTTTTTCAAATCTAAACAAAATTTATTTTTCTTTTTAATATTTTTTTCACCATAATGATGAAATATTTTACTAAAATATTCTTGCAGTAAACACGTAAGGGGCTTGTTGTTTTACATCTTATAATAACGCAGCAATGATTATTGAATAATACTTTCTTTTTTCTCCTCTAATTGGACTGTTCTAAAAAATAAAATATTTAATACGATTATTTATTTAGAGTAATACTATGGTAAGATTTTAATTTTAATGGTTTTATTGAAAAAAGTAAATGAAAATCAATTTAAAGATATAAAAAATTTAAATAATACAAGTGAAAGATGGGAATTCACAACTTCGAAAATTTAAACATTTTTTTTACCAAAACATTACTTAGCATCATCATGAAAGTGCCATATCTGAGTAGTTAATTCATGTGTGTAACACTTATGTTATAATTTATCAATATAGTGCAATTTAAAAAAATATATATATATTTTTTTTGAAAAAATTATAAAGGTAAATAAGTCAGGTCTGCT